TCTCAGCACCCAGTACTTCTTGACAGCTGAGCAGTGATCATTAGTTATTTAACTATTTATAACCACTGGTTTAATGTCTCTCCCAAGAGACCATGAGCCCTAAGAGCAGGAACCCACGCCAATTGTTTGCTATCTGTCGCTTTCGTTTGGCACACAGAAGGCATTCAATGACGCCACTGTTTGTTGATTGGCGGGAGGGTTCTGAAGCCCAGGTGGGAGGGTAGAGCGTGGGGAGGATGGATGGCACATGTGGGGGCTGCCAAGGGAATTACGCGTAGGGCTGGGTGGCTGCCTGGTCCCTACCTTCCCCGGAGCCTGGACAGCCCGTAATTGGGTGTTGTATTCATCCATCTCCAACGTGGTCCTGGGTCACTGTTTCATAAGATCCTGGTTTTTCTTCAGACTCTTCTTTCCCAGCTGGCCTTCCTTTTTTTGAATTTGCTGTTAATCCTTGAAATGAAAGTGCGTGCCCCCAGAGTACCTCCATATGCAGTCGTTCCAAACAGCTTAGCACTTCCTAAAAAGGGGAAACAGAGTTACCGTATGAACCAACAATTCCACCCCTGGGAGTATGACCCAAGAGAGGGACAACCTACGTCCACAGAAACCCTTGTCCGTGAATGTTCATAGCAGCATCATTCATAGAAGCTGAAAAGGAGAAATAACCCAAATGTCCATCAACTGATGACTGGATATGTAAAATGTGGTATATCAATACAACGGAATATTATTCGGCCATAAAAAGGAATGATGCATCAATTCACACGATTGCACAGATGAACCTTGAACCTGTTGTACTAAATGAAGCCAAAGGCAAGAGACAACATGGTGTATTCCACTTACATGAAATGCCCAGAATAGGCAAATCCAGGGAAACAGAAAGTAGATTCTTAGTTGCTTAGTGCTGGGGGTGTCTGGGAGAAAACTGGAATGACTGCTAATGGGCATGGCAGGTTTTTTGGGGAACAGGGATGAAATGTCTGAAACTGATTGGGGTGATGGTCGCACAACTCTGTCAACATACTAAAAACCACCGAAATATAAACTCTAAGTGAACGAGTTATATGGTATATGAGTTCTACCTCAATAAAGCTGTTACGTTTTTATTTTTATTTTTTTTATTTTTTATTTTATTTATTTTTTTTTTTTTGCTGTTACGTTTTTAAAGAGCAGTACTTCCTAATCTTGTTAGGTCAAGATTCTTGGAAGAATCTACGGACAGATGTGGACTTTCTCTTGCCCCCACTCCCAATCCCTCACTCATGAGAAATCCCTACATGCATGTATATAAAAGCTTCATGAAACATCAGGAGATTCCCAGACTGACTCGTGTCCATTTATAGACCCCCTAGAGGGCAACAAACTCGAGGGGAACCCTGTATGAAACTATCACTAATACATAAATGCTGGGTCAGGTGCACAGCTGGAAGATTTCCTTCCCTCCACACCTCAACTTGGCCTTTGATCCCCCCCTCTTGTCAGAGTCCCCTCTTGCCCCCTCCCCCTCCCTCCTCAAGCTGTTTTGATGTCCTTTCTTGATCAGTGTGGAAGGCAACGTTTTAAGATGGCGCCCGGGACCGTCACCCCCCCCCCCCCCCCCCCCCCGGTGTTACTCCCATGTTCTGTGGTAAAACGGAGATCATCTGGGTAAAATTCCTCCAATGGCTACTCGCCCTCTTATCATTCCTGGTCTACGTTGGGAGCTGTCTCAGTGTCAAAACGTTAAAGTTCCAGAGAGGGAAAGCACATGGCTCTCGGTGTGGGAGAAGGGGAAGGGGAGAAGCCCGGAAGGTTCCAGAGTGCCTCCAGCTTGCACAGAAGATGTGGGACCCCAGTCTGGAGTCTGGGAAGGGGCTGGGCTCCTTCCTTCACGCTGAGGCCCACCTCCTCCCCTCCTTTCTGTCTGGAAGAGCTAACAGGTTCAGTGGGGAATGGGGTGTTCCAACTCGGACAGGGAGTCTGCGAAGGTCTCCCTTCCTCTTGCCTCCCTTTACCCATAAAACCCCCAGAGCCCTACTTTCTGCCTTTGCTGATGAGAACCACTCATTTCTGGAACTAATCACTTCTTTCTGCTTTAACGAGCTGGTGTCTCTTCTTGCCGTGAATGCTCTAATCAGGCCCTTCACTCCATCTTTTTCTTGGAAGGTGACCTCCCTTCATCTGGGAGCCCAAATCTGCCCTCAACAGGCGGTCTTGGGCTTCTTTCTGTGGGTCCTGGGCCCAGGGCAGAGGTGCCGAGGGGCTGAGGGAAGGAGCGGGGGTCTGTCCTCGGATGCTGCCCTTCGCCACTCCTCAGTGAGAGGTTCCAGAGGATTCCTGGGCTTTCTGCTCAGGCTCTGCCCCTCTCTGTGGGCCTGGGAAGGAGTTTGTGGGTTTGTGGCTTTGCCTGTAATCAAGAAATCTGCCTAGACCCACAGAATTTCTTCTCCCCGGCCAGGGCTGGGCCCCTTTGGAAACCTGAAAAGTGCGGTGGTATCAGAATGACTTAGCAACACACGTGTGAGCACGTGTGGGGTGAGCTAAGCCTGTGTGTGATCGCAGGGATTCTAAGTGTGACCCCACCTTCCCCGTTTCAGTCACCGGAAACCTGACACTCCAAGGAGGAGGAGCAGGAGGGAGGGGAGAGGGAGAGGAGGAGGGAGGGGAGAAGGAGGAGAGGAGGAGGAGAGAGGGAGGGGAGAGGGAGGGGAGAGGGAGGGGAGAGGGAGGGGAGAGGGAAGGAGGGGAGAGGGAAGGAAAAGAAAGGAGGAAGGAGGGGGTTGGAGGAGAAGGGAGGAGGGGAGGAGGAGGGAGGAGGAGGGAGGAGGAGGGAGGAGGAGAGAGGGGGAGGGAGGAAGAGAGGGGGGAAGGAGGAAGAGGGAGGGGGAGGGAAGGATGAGGAGGGAAAGAAAGGGAGGGAAAAGAAAGAGGGAGGGAGGGAGGAGGGGGTGGAGGGAAAGGGAGAGTGGGAGGGGAAAGGGAGAGGGCAGAGGAGGGGGAGGAGAGGGAGGGGGAGGGCCTGGGGCAGGGCTGAGGGGATCCTAAGCCTCCCAGGAAGTGGGTTCAGTCCCGGAAGTCTGGACATCTCGACCCCCACCTTACAGACACAGCAGAATACAGGGGGGATTTGTGTCTTGGGGGGTTGGGGGAACCGTGTGTCCTGCACCCTCTCCCACCTCCCACGACACAGCCCAGGAGACTCAAAGGGGAGGGGAAGCTATTTTAGAGGCACACCCTTCACCCACAAACCTGTTTCCGGAGGGCCCTGACGCCCATCTCCTTCCAGCACCACTACCCACTGCTCCAGGGGCAGCACCCCCAGACCTCACCATCCTGGGTTTTCAGGATGGCCTCTGCCCCCAGCCCCTCCCAGAGGCCACGGCCCTGGCCCTCACCTGTGACACAGAGGAGGCTTGGGGCCAGACTGCCCTGTAGTTCCCAGAGTTTCTTTTTATGGCTGCTTCCGGTGAGGGGGCGTGGGGGACCCCCCCCACCCGAGAGACTCTGTGGGAGGTTTGCCCCCCCCCCAGTGAAGCTCACACCCAGCCACGTGAGGCCAGGACTGCTGCACCCTCCCCGGGGGACCCCCCTACAGCGTCTCCCACCTGGACCCTGGGCCAGGTGAATCACTTGGAGGGCTTATTAAAAAGCCGGGGGGGGGGCGGGGCCTGGGTCCCACCCTCAGTGTTTCTGACTCTCAGGCCTGGGGCGGGGCCTGAAAATTTGCATTTCTAATAAGTTCACAGGTGATGCTGATGCAGCTGGTCTGGGGAGCACATACCTGCACCTGTAGGTTGTCTATCCCAAGTGAGGGCTACCTGCTGCCCCCAGCGGGATCCCCACAGGGGAGGCTGCCCCAGCCCTCTCAGTGGGGACCCCTCGTCCCGTCCTGCTCTGCTACTGGCTTTGGAGGGGAAGGCAACGATGCTCCCACCTTCTGAGAGGCAGCCTGGAGGAGGGAGCACTGGCCCAGGACAGGAGGCACCACTGTGAATCCCGACCTCGTCATCTGTAGCCAGCGACCCCGAAGACAGGGATAGTGGTGCCCCGCGGGGTTTTCACCCAGATGATGTGTGCATGAATATATGTTCAATAAATGCTGTTTTCTTTGTCTGCTCTCTGATCTGACCTGATTTGAGTTTTTGACCCTGAGTGCGAAATTTTACATTAATCTCTACTCGGTTCAATTTTGCTGGTTTCTTTTTTCCCCTTTAAGATTCTATTTATTTATTTGAGAAAGACAGAGATAGCAAGAGGGGAGGAGAGGGAGAAGCAGGCTTCCTGCTGAGCCTGATGTGGGGCTCCTTCCCAGGAGCCCCGGGATCATGACCTGAGCCGAAGGCAGATGCTTAACCAACTGAGCCACCCAGGCGCCTGAGTTTTGCTGCTTTCTGACCATCATTCCAACCTGCTGAGATGCGTCCTTCGGCAGCCTGCCTCCTATTCCCATATTAGCGTCGCTGGTACCACACTGCGTGTTGTAGGGTCCCGGTGGCTAGGGCTCAGGGCTTGGTCCCTAGGTTGGGGACAGTCCTGGACTCACCACCTATGGCACTCCGACTTGGGAAGCTGCATTCGTAGTTTCTAGTGAGTCTTTGAATTTCCGGTTAGAAACCCCAACTTACAAAAATAAATTTTTTTTGAAGTGATAGAGGAAAGAAGGGTCCTAGGTACTCACCCCGCTGCTGGTCTCTTTCTGTGTGCAAGTCCAAAGCCTAGGACATGCCAGGCCCGAGATTTGTTTTCGAGTCCCTGGGCTGCCTAAGTGACTAGCTTCAAGAGGGGGTGCTTTTCTCCCTTCAATGGACCATGTTCGCCGTGAACAAACCAAAAAGGGACAGAACTTAGAAACAAACATCTTACAGAATTTAATGTTTTCAGGGAAAATGGCAGGGTGTTCGCCAGCAGAAAGGCACAGGGGTCCCCAGACAGCCGGACTGGGCTGACAGGACCGCAAGCTCACCACGAACCCATCTTCTCTCTGTCTCTGTCTCAGAACATTCTGGAACCGCGGCTGCTCCCTAGACCCGGACTTGCTGTTGTTCTTTCTTCCTCACCTCTGCCCAGATGTCCGACAGATCCTGGATAAACTGCTGGATCTAACAAGGCAAGGGGACCCGAGTTAGCCCACCCAGCATCAGGCCACCCTGTCCCCACACGGAGCACGTCAGGGCATAACCTAGAAGGAGTCACTGTTTCTCTGGGACTGACTTCTTAAAGCATTTAACTTTCCCTTACTTGACAGTTATTCATCAGGCTTAGCAGACTGGGAGGCACAAACAGGGAGCTCCTGGGGGCCGACATGGAGGCGGCATGAAGAACGGTGGACAGTCTGATGGAGGGAAAGACGAGGGGATGCTGGGCAGACTCCAGTACTAGAAGCCTCTGGCAGGAGGGGGCCAGCAGTGTTGGGGGAGACGGCTACCCACAATTTAATAGCCTTCAAGGGGGGCATTTACTTGGAACCCAGAACCGATGCCCGTTTTGACAATCCTGAGTCACAAGGGAAGCTTGAGTTCTGTTCACCAGCTTGTTTCAAAGAACACGGGCTCCGTGTGCCACGTGGGGACCTGGTCTACTCTGGGCAAATCAGTTCATCTTTATGGGACTCAGCTTCTTCATCTTCAAAAAGGGAATGGGGAGAACGGGTTGACCTCGATGGCCTCTAAGACCTCAGTTCTAAAATCTCTCATTTTCGAGAATGTTCCTGGAGATGGGACTACACAGACTGTCCCAAACTCTCGACAACCCTGTCTGCCATGAATATTGTTACTATTATGGATACAATTCCTGTTTTGTAAAAGAGGAAACAAAGAGTCAATGAATTAAAGTCTCTTCCCCAAGGTTACGGAGGAGACAAGCCCAGAATTTTCCATGTTCTGTGTTCTTTTTTTTTACAAAGGAGACTCTTTTTTTTTAAGATTTTATTTATTTATTTGAGAGAGAGTGAGAGACAGAGAGCATGAGAGGGAGGAGGGTCAGAGGGAGAAGCAGACTCCCCGCCGAGCAGGGAGCCCGATGCGGGACTCGATCCCGGGACTCCAGGATCATGATCTGAGCTGAAGGCAGTCGCTTAGTCAACTGAGCCACCCATGTTCTGTGTTCTTATAACCAGTCATCACACTCCCCCACAAAAAGTTTCTGTGGTCAAGTTAGCTTTAGAAATGTTATCTGCTCGGAGAGTCTCAGGGCAGAACCATAGCAAAGACGGTGGAGTCCTGTGTGCAAAGACCATCTAACTTTGCTTCACTGAGAATTTTCCAAACCTATTAGTCCACGAGCTCCTTTGATTCCCCCATAGGAAACTTAACCACCTCTTGGGGTCCTAGAATTTGCCAAGCACAATTAGGAAAATGCCACTCCAGTGAGCTTGGGTTTTGTTCAGGGATCGCGCTGGACCTTCCAAGACACAGTACCATTGAATTCAAATTCAGCCTTTTGCAAAATCATGCTTCCTAAGTTGTACTGTGGGCCCATGCTCCTCAATTCTAGATAAGTGGCTGCCTTCCAGAGCTTGTGCTTGGATGCGTCATAGGGATGTTTTTGGGAACATCCATGTGCTAGGAGTCTCTGCAGCCTCCTTGGGAAATTTCAATTAGAGTCAAGCACCGGAAAAGGTTTGCTCTGAGCACACCTACGTTTTCTCATTTTGGTACAAGAACTATGTGTTGCTTTTCCTTCTTGTCATCAGGAGGCACAGAACCAACTGCTGAAGCTCTTGAGCTACTGTCCTTTATACTCCAAGAATCTGCAGTCTGTATTTCTCGCTCGGGCCTGGACCTTCGGTTGTAACGTTAATTTTCCCAGGTCCTTGTTTTTAATTGTTTCAGGCTAGTTAATCATGTGTATGTCTGTCCGTAGGCTCCCGTCCTATGGGGATGCTGTGGGATATTTTTTTTTTTAAAGATTTTTATTTATTTATTTGACAGAGAGAGACACAGTGAGAGAGGGAACACAAGCAGGGGGAGTGGGAGAGGGAGAAGCAGGCTTCCCGCCGAGCAGGGAGCCCGATGCGGGGCTCGATCCCAGGACCCTGGGATCATGACCTGAGCCGAAGGCAGACGCTTAACGACTGAGCCACCCAGGCGCCCCGCTGTGGGATATTTTTAAAATAACAACTTGAGCAGAAGGAAGTGTTCCTATAGAAAGCTCAAAATCGGGAGTGGATGGGCTGGGAGCTAGGGTCTGAGCAGGGAATGCTTGGGCGGGTTGTGGAGCTGGAGATGAGCACCTCCTTGCTTTACAACAGCTAACAGAGAGGGGCCTGAGGACCTCCAGGAGTCCCTGAGACCCTTCTGCCAGGGACAGGGGTTTGCAGGGACAAAGTCCTTTTTTCAGTAATACGGAGACATTACTTGTCTTTTCTTTCATGAGCGGCTTTTTATCAGACTGGGGTGTTTCAGTGACATAGGGCTCTATTACAGCAGGTTGAATGCAGAAGCAGAGAGGAGAATCCACCTGTCCTCCATGAAGCCAGACATTAAATGGATTTGTGAAAGTGCAACTTGTCCCACAAAGTATTATTTCGAAAACGTGTTTTTCATCAAGCACGCCATTGATGTTGATCAGCTTCTTCTTATCACTTAAAAGTGAATTCTTTTTGGGGCGCCTGGGTGGCTCAGTTGGTTAAGCGACTGCCTTCGGCTGGGGTCATGATCCTGGAGTCCCGGGATCGAGTCCCGCATCGGGCTCCCTGCTTGGCGGGGGGTCTGCTTCTCCCTCTGACACGCTTCCCTCTCGTGCTGTCTCTCATTCTCTCTCTCAAATAAATAAATAAAATCTTAAAAAAAAAAAAAGTGAATTCTTTTTAATTTATCTGCTTGAGTTTCTGATATGGTAAATATCAATAGACAAAAGCTCTTTGGGGGTCTTCAATCAACTTTAAGAGTATGCAGGTCTCCTGATACCAAAAAGTTTGAGAATTGCTGCTTTGGAATAAATTTTCTTATTAATTTCCTTCATAGTCTTTCAACTGTCAATAATTCTGCTCTACGTACTTTGAGCTGCAGGCTGATTGTCCGGCTTGGGGAAATCCCTCTTCTGGGCTGGTCAGTGGGTGAAATCCTTTACATTTCATGAGTTTTACTTTTTTATTTATTTTTTTAAAGATTTTATTTATTTATTTGACAGAGAGAGACTGTAAGGGAGGGAACACAAGCGGGGAGAGTGGGAGAGGGAGAAGCAGACTCCCCGCCGAGCAGGGAGCCCGGTGTGGGACTCGATCCCAGGACCCTGGGACCATGACCTGAGCCGAAGGCAGACGCTTAATGACTGAGCCACCTAGGTGCCCCTATTTTTGTTTTTTTTTAAAAGATTTATTTATTTATTTGAGAGAGAGGGGGCGCACACGAGTTGGGGGAGGGGCCAAGGGTGAGGGAGGGAGAGAATCTCAAACAGACTCCCCACTGAGCACAAAGCCCCACGTGGGACTCAGTATCACGACCCTGAAATCATGACCTGAGCTGAAAGCAAGAGCTGGACGCTTAACTGACTGAGCCACCAGGGCGCCCCAAGTTTCACTTTTTTGTTGTTGTTAAATAGGGCAAGTGCCTTCCAGTCCATGGCTTTTATTGGCTTGTGTTTCATATTCATTCACCAAACACTTACTGAGCACCTACTGTGTGCCAGGCACTGTTCTAGATACTGAGATACAGTTGGGAACAAGGCAAACACAAATCCCTGCCTTCTGGAGCTTAAATTCTATTATTTCACGGCAGAGCCCGAGGCTTTTGCCAAAGGAACGAAGAATTAGTCAAGTTCTCTGCACGGCACGAGAAGCATGGCTAATGCATCTGCCCTCACCGAGTTTCCCCAAAAGTAGGATATGTGCACCTGTGGTCAGAAGTGAGATGATTTGGGGGTGGTGCATGCACATGGCATCGAACAGCTTTGAATCATGTAGTGAGAAAGGTATTTCCTTTCCAATTTCCTTTCAGTTACTTTATTTTTTTAAAAGTTTTACTGATTTATTTGAGAGAGAGCGAGAGCGCGCGTGCACACAAGCAGGGGAAGGGGCAGAGGCAGAGGGAGAAGCAGACTCCCCCTGAGCAGGGACCCCAGGATCATGACCCGAGCTGAAGGTAGACGCTTAACCAACTGATCCATCCAGGTGCCCCTCCTTTCAGCTATTTCAAAGAGAAATGTCAGATTGGTTCTAATAAGACCCTAACACTTCCCTAAACTTGCTGATTCCTCCCCCTACCCCCCAACCCCCAATTTTCTCTTTTCCCAAAGAGTGGACCTTGGGCACGAGCCTTCAGCCTCTTTCTAGAATGCAGTAGAACTGTTTTGCACAAGTACTGAGTTCAATAGTGGGTCCCTGCCATTGCCCGTGTTGACTACGACCAATGTTCTCAAGGTGTGGAACCCAGACCAGCACCATCACCTGGGAACTTGCTGAAAAATGGAAATTCACGGGTTCTCATCTCAGACATACTGAGTCAGACACTCTGGGGCTGGGGCCCGGCAACACTCCCCAGCCCCCAGGGTGACTCTGATCCTGTTAAATTTGAGAACCAGTTCTGTGGGGTTCATTCTTGCCTTGGACCAATGGACAACCGTCTTAGTTCAGTAGACCCCGCTGGCCAGGGCACTTGGCCCCCTCTTACCATGTCCAGCTGTTTGTGCGTGTCCTCCAGGGACACGGTGGTGGTCTCCTTCAGCTGCTTGCTCACGATCTGGAAGAGGTTCAGTGTCGCCATCTTAATGGTGCCAAGCAAGAGGGTCTTCTTGGCGGCAGTGTTCTGGATGTGTGCCCAGCGAGATTCCTGGGGAGGGATTGGGGCCGGGACGTGAGCAGGTGTGTGGCGCACGTGTGTGGTCCCTCGCTCACCCCGCGCCCAGAAGCCCCCCAGCCACGCCCCCCGCCCCCGCCCTCACCCAGATGATGACATCGCTGCGGGCGCGGTCGAAGCGCATCTGCAGCCGGGCCAGCTCGTTGTTGTGCTGCAGGATCTCGTCGTCCTTCTCCTCCATGTAGCGCGCCAGCCGCGCCTTGGCGCGCTCGATCTTCTCCTGGCCCTCCTGCGCCGACTGCATCAGGTCCTGGTGCATGCTCACCAGGGTCTTGTAGCGCGCAATCACCTCGTGGATCTCCTCGAACTGCGGCAGGGGCTCCGTCACTACAGTGCTGCCCGCCCCAGGCCCGATGGTGGGTGGAGCTCCCCGCCCCCCCACCTGCCAACCCCCTGCCTAGATGCCTCAGCCTAGCGGGGAGACCCTAGGCCAAGGTCAAAGGGCAGAGGCCGTAAGGACGTTGGAGTCCCCCCTGCTCGCCCTCCTGGGTTGGGGGCACATGCAACCGGAGCTGGGGTCCTCGGTCTGCATGTTGGGATCACCTGGGAGCTTTAAAAAGGACACCTGTCTGGCTCCACCCCTGAGAGAGTCATTTTATTTATTTATTTATTTTTAAAGGTTTTATTTATTTATTTGAGAGCGAGCAAGCGAGAGAGCACAAGCAGGGGGAGAGGAAGAGGGAGAAGCAGGCTCCCCGCTGAGCAGGGCTTGATTCCCAGGACCCGGAGATCATGTCCTGAGGGGAAGGCAGGTGCTCAATCTGCGAGCCACCCAGGCGTCCCCAAGAGATTCATTTAAATAAACAGGTCCGAGGTGGTCCCTGGCACCTGAATTTTGCAAAAAGGTCCCCCACGTGATTCTAGAGGGTTGCTGGCTGGGGCTCGGGGGTTGGAGAGGTGCATTTTGAAAGGTCTCCCAAGGCAGTAATTACCCTGTCCAAGGACGTACCGAGAACCACTTATAAGCCAGGCAGTATGCTAAATGCGAGGGACAGAGCAGGAGATAAGGAAGCCAGACCCTGCTCTTAGGAAGCCTACAACTTGGGCGGGTGTGGAGGGAGGACAGACAGACAAGGAAAGAGTTACAACACGGAGTGATAAGCCCAATCTATGACTGGGGGGTGGGGCTGGTCAAAGATGTACGGTAATATCTTCAGCATAAGGCTGTCTGGTATTTGTTCACATTTGCTGAGGTTCCCTCTCCAGTGGGGGCTGGAGACGCTACCAGCAGGGCGGGTGGCCTGCCAGGCACAGCTGTCTCCTTCGGCATGGACCTGACTTTGCAGGCCACCCTCCCTGCGTAGAAGGCGGTGTGAACGCTGGCCTTTGCATCGATAAAGCCTCTGGGGGGGGCGGGGGCGGACATCCAAGTCAGCATCAGAGGAGGTGGGAACATCCAGGAAAGGTCTCCTGGGGTAAAGGATAGCTGCAATGAGACCAGAGGTATGAGCAGAAGCCAGCCAGCCAAGGGCAAGTGGGGGAAGGTGAGGACAAGTAGAGGGAGTAGCTGCCTACAGACCACGGGTACGTGTGGTATGTTCAAGATGCTCACAGGAGCTTAGTATGAATAATAGCCTGCGTTCAAGATGGGGAGGGACAGATCCACCCAGAGGAAGTAACAAAAGTGCCCAGTAGCCCCCGAGGAGGAGTGTGGGCTTCCTCCATTAAAGGGTTTTAGGAAGCAGAGAGATAACTTTATGTCTGCGTTTCCGAAAGTTCACCGAGTACACACACGATGTGACAGCATGCGACAGATAAAGCAAATGGAGCTCCCAGGAGCATCCGTCGAGTACTTGGTGCTGGTGTCCAAAGGACGCAGGTACCAACCTGAAGAGGCTCCCGCTGTTTAAAGATGGGACACTTTGCACATCAGTGAGAAAAAGGGCAAAGGATCGACACACACCAGATATGTCAACAATCCACGAATTCATAACATACTAACAACACGACGGGTCACCTTTGGAGGATGCCAGAGAATCAGTTCATGACTCTGAAAACTGTAATTAAGAATCAAGCACTTAACGAGTTTTCCTTTAAGACTCACAAAGTCATCAAACAGCTGATGAAAGGAAGATTCTCCCAGTGAAGTCTTTGTTGGTGGTAGTTTCTTAGCTAATACGTGAAGAGACGACAGAACGTTTCCGGCACCCTAGAAGGGTCTACCGCCCGCTTTCGGCTCAGTGTCTGGCCCCACTACCAAAGAAACCAGAACTGTGGCTTCTATCACCAAAGATCCACTTTTACCTGTTCTTAAATCTATCAGTGGGATCATATGTATGTCCTCTTTTCTGTCTAGTTTCTTTGGATCCGCATCAGAATGTCTGTGACACTCGAGACACAAACATTATCAACCAAATGCCGCGTAGGGACCTTGTTTGGACCCCGACTGGAACCAACCACTTGTACACAAAGCACGTGTGCGACCGCTGGGGAAATTTTAACATTGACTGCAGACTTGATATTAAGGAATTACGATCACATTTTTACCGGGTATGATGAAGGTATTGGCCTCATCTTTGAGAGTCACATACTGACATACAGATGAGAAAAAAATATCATTTGCTTCGAAATGGCCGAGGTGGGAAGGTCCGGGGGATGATCTGATGAGTCGATGGTTGTCAGAATTAGGTGATGAGTAACGGGCATTCAATAGATGATTCTATTTTTGTATATGTTGGGAAGTTTCCACAATAAAAAAAATTTTTTTTAAGAAAAAGCATCATTGAGAACCCTGAGAGATGATGGACTCTGAAAAATAAACTGAGGGTTCTAGAGGGGAGGGGGGTGGGAGGATGGGTGAGCCCGGTGATGGGTATTAAAGAGGGCACGTATTGAATGGAGCACTGGGTGTTGTACGCAAATAGTGAATCATGGAACATTACATCTAAAACTAATGATGTAATGTATGGTGATTAACATAACATAATAAAAAAAAAAAAAGAAAGAAAAAGCATCATTGATCAGAAAAAGCAACTCTCGGGCGCCTGGGTGGCTCAGTTGGTTAAGCGACTGCCTTCGGCTCAGGTCATGATCCTGGAGTCCCGGGATCGAGTCCCTCATCGGGCTCCCTGCTCGGCGGGGAGTCTGCTTCTCCCTCTGACCCTCCTCCCTCTCATGCTCTCTGTCTCTCATTCTCTCTGTCTCAAATAAATAAATAAAATCTTTAAAAAAAAAAAAAAGCAACATAGAAAATACCCATGCCATCTAAAACTAACAGCCAGGGGCGCCTGGGTGGCTCAGTTGGTTAAGCGACTGCCTTCGGCTCAGGTCATGATCCTGGAGTCCCGGGATCGAGTCCCGCATCGGGCTCCCTGCTCGTCGGGGAGTCTGCCTCTCTCTCTGACCCTCCCCCCTCTCATGTGCTCTCTGTCTCATTCTCTCTGTCTCAAATAAATAAATAAAATCTTAAAAAAAAAAATGCAACATAGAAAATACCCATGCTATCTAAAACTAACAGCCAGGGGCGCCTGGGTGGCTCAGTTGGTTAAGCAACTGCCTTCGGCTCAGGTCATGATCCTGGAGTCCCGGGATCGAGTCCCTCATCGGGCTCCCTGCTCGGCAGGGAGCCTGCTTCTCCCTCTGACCCTCCCCTGTCTCATGCTCTCTCTCTCTATCTCATTCTCTCTCTCAAATAAATAAATAAAATCTTAAAAAAAAAAAAGAAAGAAAGAAAAAGCAACTCTCGAAGAGACACGAGCAACACCCTTCATAGTCTATGGATATGTACTATGTGGCCAAAATAATAACAAGCATGAGCATGAGCAGTTTAAAAATCAGGATGGTGGCTGCCTCCTCAGAGAGGGGAAAAAGAAGCGGGTTTGGAAGCGGGGGCCCCCAAGGGGTTTCAATTAGCCGTAGTGTCTTAAGAAAAAAGGACTGGAAGCCAATAGGGGGAAATATTAAGATCTGACAAGGTGCAGTGCATACCTGGGTGCTATTATATATTTCTCTATACTTTTCCGTGTGCTTACAATATTCTGAAAGACGTAAGGGAAGAAGGAAAGAGAGAGGAAGAAAGCAGGGCGGGAGATCACGCTGGGAGGGCATGGGACAGGCTGGTGGCCGGGAATAAAGCAGCGTTGAACTCCGGATGAGGTGCACTGGGGGTCTGGATGAAGAAGGGGCAGGGGCGGATTCCAGAAATACCTAGGAGGCAGAATAGACCAGATCTGCTGATTGATGGGCTGTGGGGAGGGAGGAGGGGGAGGAGGCGAGGAGGAGGCCCCGCTTCTAGCAGGGCTGAGGGTGGGAGGCCACGCCATTCACAGAGCCAGACACACAGTGGGAGGACTGGCCTCGGGTGGCAGGGAGCTGATGAGCTGAGCCGGGGACTCCAGACCATGGGTGTAGGGGCATGAAGCTCAGAGCCAGACACAGGCCAAGCTCCTCGGTTATAAGACACACCTTTCCCCCAGCTCTGAGTCTGAGTCCTCTCTTATAATTTATCTGCTGTTTTGATACGTAGTCTCCCCCACTCCCCCCCCACCCCATTATGAATGAACCATTTATTGTACAATAGGTACCTTAGAATGGAACACATAACACAGATTTGGGCTTCACATGTGCATAAATTAGTTCTAGTACAGGACTTCAGAAATTATCTGGGACTTCAGAAAGCTGTCCATCCTTTGTCCCCCCTGGCGCCGCCCTCAGGACACTGACCCACACCTCCCAGAGGGCATACCCCATACCTGGCACATACCCCCTCCCCCCTGCCCCCACCGCTGTGAGGGGCCCTGCCTGTTGCTGTCACATGGGGGATGTGGGAGGCATCCGTGGGAGGTCCCTTGAGTTGTTCAGGGAGAAAAGTGGAGGGTCAGGGACAAAGACCCGAGGACCGCTTAAGGAAGGAGCCAGGAACAGGAGCCCCCAGAGGAGGCTGAGGAGGAAGGGCCAGAGGTGGGAGGAGGGGAGGAGACAGGGGAGGAGCCCCAAGCAAAGGGCAAAGCCCTGTTTCAAGGAGGCCTGCGCACCAGCCCAGGGCCCGGCCTGTGCACTGCGCTCTCTAACTCTGCATTGCGTTCTCTCCCTTCTTCTCTCCGTGGACTCCCAGGTAAACAGAACACAGCAGGGAGGAGGGGGAGCAGGGGTGGGTGCCAGCCACATCCTGCTGCAGGCAAAGCTAGTCACTGGTGGTCCCAAGCGAAACCTCGCTCCCCCAACACACACACACACAGACATACGCACGCCGCCCAGATGCACCTGCAGACCCCGGACCCCTGAGAAACAAGCCCACCCCCCCCCCCTCCCAGGGGCCTCTCCCACCATCCTGCGCTGGCCCCAGGCCCTGGGGAAGTCCCCCCGCCCGTTCCCCAGCTCACCTCTGAGTTCTCCACCACCTTCTCCAGGTACTTGTTGAAGATGGAGTAGTCCTGCAGCTTCATGCTCAGCTTCTGGTGCTCCAGCCGCAAGGCCACCATCTCCTGCTTGGCCTTGGCCAGCTCTCGCACGCGCTGCCTCTTCAGTTCCCGCTCCTTGCTGGCTTTCTTCAGGGCGCGGATCCGCTTCTGGTCGTTCTCCTGGGGCGGGGGAGGGAGGGAGGTGGCACCCATTGGACACTGGGCCCGTCCTCCCTTCTGCCTGTCGGGGATGGGCAGGGATCGCCGGGCCGCCCCTGTGGGCAAGGAGGCCCGGATTCCCTCCCCATTTGGTGCTTGGTACTTGGTGCCTCAATTTCTCCAACTGTAGAAAGGAGAGGCCCTGGGCAACCGTGCTTCAGCTGGGAGAGGCATCCGGCTGAGGCCGGAGCCGACAGTGCAGACTACTGATGTCCTCAAAGAAAGGGCATTCGGGCTGACACCCCCTTCTCCTTCATTCTGCAAAGCCCTCCCCGCAGGATCAGGGGGCACTCGCACCCCTCACAGTGCACCTGTGTGGTTCCTGTCCCTCTTCATGGATGGAGGACATTCGGAGGTAGGTGGAGAAGGCACAGGGAGGGTTCGCACTCTGCCCCGTGAGCCCGGGAGAGGACCCAGGGTCCCCTAAACCAGTCCAATTGTGCATCATAATCCCCTGGGGAGCTTTTTAAAAATGCAGTTGCTGGGCCCCCCCTGAGGACAATTGAAAGCACAGAGAGAGTCCCAGGGGTCTGTATTTGTGACAGTTTTCCAGGATTTCCAGGCTGCTGGGCCTCTGGCAGCCCTTGGAGAAGCTCTCAGTCCCATCTCCTGCCACCCTGCCCATGCCCCTAGCCTTTCTCTGGCCAGTAAGGACCTGACCCCTGGAGAACGTGCCCAGCCCCCATCAGCTTCCTCTCCCACCTGGAGAAGGCGCAGAGCAAGACAGACTGCTTAAGAGCAGGGCCACCCCCTCGAGCGAGTGGAGGCCAGGGATTCCGCCCCCCCCACCCCCCACTCCCCCCATCCCTCACCCCGGAGCTGGGCCAGGCCCCCTCAGGGCTCCATCAGGGCTGGTCTGGAGAAATCTGGGTGGTCAGATTGCTCCTCTAAGGACTGAATGAAAGGAGTTGTCTCCGGATGGACTCTGGGGCCTGGTCCTTCAACCGACCCCTGGTCCTTCAGCAGAAGGACGGAGGGGTGGGTGGGCAGCCGGGACTGAAGCCCTGGAGTCGTCTCTGTATCCCCACGTGTTCAGCCCTGCCTGTCATCCTCCACCCATTGATTCATTCCCCCGAGACATTGCATGTACCAGGTGCAGGTGAGGAAATGGTGAACCGCAGTCTAGAAGGGCCGAAAGTGACAGGGAAACAGGAAATTACAAACTGTAATGAGTGGGGACGTAAAGGGAGAAGCCCCAGGCCTTGTTGAGCGGTGAAGAGATGCTAACCCAGGGTGAGGAGTCAGCAAAAGCAAGGAAGATGGGGAGGAGCAATTTGCAGCCTGGGGGCCCTCATACCTGGATGAACTGCTCAAACTTCTGGATGTGGGCCTTCAGCTGGGCCTCCTTGATGCCCAACTCCTCCCAGCGCAGGTTCAGGGTTTCCATTCTACGCTGAAATGTCTTGGGGTGGGGACAGCAGAGAGGTCAGGAGGGCCCCTGCACCTCCTGCCCCCAGGGCCTCTGCCCCCAGGCCTCCCACCTTCCACCCTGCACAGGACTCCCGGCTCCAGCCACTGCCACCCACAGAATGGGGGGAGGGGAGGGCGTCCCCAGGCTCCAAACCCTGCGGCCCTTCCTGCACTCCACGCCCCAGTCCCCACCTCCTTCTTCTGCTCCATAGCACGGTGCATGATCTTGGCCTCCTTCTTCTTCTCCAGGAGCCGGATGGATGGGGACTCCGACTGCTCGTCAATGTTGGGGAACTTCCTGCCAAGACACGGGGTGGGAGAGGCTGGTGGGTGCTGAGCGCCCCGGGGGCAGGCTGGGGCTGGGCCAGCCTGTGGGGAGACAAGGGGGGGTCCTGTCCCCCACGTGAGGGAAGGGAGTCATGTGTGGGGAGGGCTGTGTTGGCATCTGGGAATGGGGGACACGGCTACAAGGGCTGGGGGTCTGGGTGGGGCGGTGGATTGGTGTCAGGGTCGGGGGCAGGTGACTTGGGGCTCAGGGTTACGGGGGGAGGGGCAGGCTGGTGTCAGGGTCAGGGGGCAGGTGACTTGGGGCTCAGGATTACAGAGAGGGGCAGGCAGGTGTCAGGGTCAGGGGGCAGGTGACTTGGGGCTCAGGGTTACAGGGGGAGGGGCAGGCTGGTGTCAGGGTCAGGGGGCAGGTGACTTGGGGCTCAGGATTACAGAGAGAGGGGCAGGCTGGTGTCAGGGTCAGGGGGCAGGTGACTTGGGGCTCAGGGTTACAGGGGGAGGGGCAGGCTGGTGTCAGGGTCAGGGGGCAGGTGACTTGGGGCTCGGGGTTACGGGGGGAGGGGCAGGCTGGTGTCAGGGTCAGGGGGCAGGTGACTTGGGGCTCAGGATTACAGAGAGGGGCAGGCAGGTGTCAGGGTCAGGGGGCAGGTGACTTGGGGCTCAGGGTTACGGGGGGAGGGGCAGGCTGGTGTCAGGGTCAGGGGGCAGGTGACTTGGGGCTCAGGGTTACAGGGGGAGGGGCAGGCTGGTGTCAGGGTCAGGGGGCAGGTGACTTGGGGCTCAGGGTTACGGGGGGAGGGGCAGGCTGGTGTCAGGGTCAGGGGGCAGGTGACTTGGGGCTCAGGGTTACAGGGGGAGGGGCAGGCTGGTGTCAGGGTCAGGGGGCAGGTGACTTGGGGCTCAGGGTTATGGGGGGAGGGGCAGGCTGGTGTCAGGGTCAGGGGGCAGGTGACTTGGGGCTCAGGGTTACAGGGGGAGGGGCAGGCTGGTGTCAGGGTCAGGGGGCAGGTGACTTGGGGCTCGGGGTTACGGGGGGAGGGGCAGGCTGGTGTCAGGGTCGGGGCCAGGTGACTTGGGGCTCGGGGTTACAGGGGGTAGGGGCAGGCTGGCAGGGGGGCACGGGGGCTGTGGGAGGCCCTGGACCCGAGAGACTCACTGTAGCAGTTTTAACAGGCGCTCCCCATACTGCAGCCGGAAGTACTCGGCCAGGTCTTCCTCCTCCATGATGCCCAGACTCATGGTGCTGCTGAGCCAGGGGGCCCGGCGGCCGGGTCCTCGCAGTGAAACGGTGGCTGGGGGAGCCGCGGGTGGCCCGGGGTGCTGGCTGGGCTCTTGCTTCTCCCTTCCTCCTGCTTTTTAGGGTCCCACGGAGGGAAAGACGGTGGGAGGCTGGTGGGTCAGCAGCTCAGGGTGCCGGGTTGGCAAATGAAGGGAGCTCTGGTTACCTGGCAACAGGCCTTCTGGTTCTGTGGACCACCCACGGAACCCAGGCTTTGCTCTCTGACCCTTGTCCCCGCTGACCCCAGTCCTGCTGGAATCCGTCCTTCTGCTCCTGCATTTACCCTCCCCCCCCCCCCCCCAGGAACTCTGGGGAGAAGTTAGGCCTGATTAGATGCTGGTGTCCAGGCCTGGGAGGCAGGGTCTGGGGGTCCATGACCTAACAGGGGGGTTCTGGTGGAGGGGTGTCCTTGGGGGTTCAGGTGCGTGTGTGAGGGTCAGAGAGGGCCTGGGGCTGGGACAGACGGCCCAGAAGAAAAGGAGGCAGGGGTGGGGGCCGCTGGGAGGGTGGGAGGAGGCCTGAGCTTGAGAACCAAGAGGTGGGCGAGGGTAGGCGGGGAGCCTGGGGACCAAAGAGGCCACCCCGGGGATGTGGAGGGGGGGCCCCCCGGGGGTGTAGCCGACTCAGGGCCAGTGCCATCAAAATATGAAGAAAAGCCACACCCTGGGACCGTGACCGTCACACCCGTGTCCCTCATGAGAGCTGCCTTCCTTGACCCCGTCAGAGCACTGGGCACGAACTCACTGGGGCCCGGGGCGGCGCCCAGACTGGGGACCCCGTGGGAGGCGGGCGCCGAGGGGTCCCGGGCGGGGGTGACGGCCGCGACCTCGAGTCCCCGCTGCGGGACACAGGCTCCCGGCGGCGCGCCGTCTCCTCTGTCCGCCGCCCGCGCCGGCCGCGGGGCTCGGCCCCTCCGGGTCTGGGGCGGGGGTCCCTCCCCGGCCCCGCGGCGCCCGGAGCAGAGGAGCCCACCCCGCGACATTGCCGGTCCTCTGGCGCCCCCTGCTGGCCGCCCGACGCGGGGCCCCGAGTGGGAGGCGCGGTGGGGGCGCTGCCCAGCCCCCCCCGCCGCCCTCCCTTCCCCCCAGCCCCCCTCCCGAGCCGTCCGCCGCCCCCCGGGGCCAGGGATGGGGGAAGCAGCATAGCTCCCACCCCACCCTCAGGCCCCCAGCCAGCAATGGTTGTCACCGGGGGCGCCCCAAGGAAAGGGAGCCAGCAGGGTGACTATAAGGTCCGCAAAAGGGGATGTTCCTCTCCTTGCGCATTCCTGGAGCCCGGCACAGTCAATTTGGGCTTTACCTTCTTCTTCCCCTTGGGGAGGGGGCTGTCTGCTTCTCGGATCCCCGGTTTGCCCTGGTACATCTGGACGCATCCTTGGTGGCATCTCTGCAATCAGGTGGCCCAGGGCCACGTTGGTGCACACAGGTGGCAGCTAAGGGCATCCTCACCTCCTGTGCGGGCACCCTTTTTGTCTGGGAGCTCTTTCTGTTGCTTCCTCTGGACCTCGCTTGAGAACCTCCCTCTCCATGGCCCACCACCATCCTTCTCTGGGGTCTCACTGCCCTTTTCGGGGGCCATAGGTTACGATGCAGGGCTGCCTGGGATTCACAGAACTCCCCCACTCTTCCTTCCCTGGGGGAGCCCAGCTTCCCTCCCCGCTCCACCTCCACCCCAGCCTTTGTCCATCTTGCTATTTGCCTCTGAGGCATCTAGAAAATCTCCTGTTGGATTTAGGCTGTTGGAAAACGATAGGCATTTCTGTTTTCTGTCCCATCCCATCCTCCCTCTGAGACAATGATCTGCTTTAAAAGGACAGGAGGAAAATATCAGGAGAATAAAAGCTCTATCTAGGTTCGTATCTTTAAAAATGTTATCCTGCGTATCCATACAGAACAGCATAATGCTCGGTATACAATCAAGTACTGGGTGTGAGGAAGTCACATTTTGTTCATGTTATATTCCAATTCCATATATGTCTTATAGTCCCTGTAAGTGGAGTCACACAGATGAATTATATTAAATATGTTTCATAATGATTGTTATGGGAAAACTCCTTGTATGGGTTGAGTATGTTTCAATGGCTTAACAAGGTCTAACTTTGTCAAATGCTTTTTCTTTTTTTTTTTTAAGATTTATTTATTTATTGAGAGAGAGAGCATGTGGGGGTGGGGGGTGGGAGGGAGGGTCAGAGGGAGAGGGAGAGAGAAATCTTCAAGCAGACTCCCCGCTGAGCGCGGAGCCCAATGCAGGGGCTTGATCCCATGATCCCCAGACCATGACCTGAGCCGAAATCAAGAGTAGGATGCCTGACCAACTGAGCGACCCAGGTGCCCCTCAGATGCTTTTCTTTCTTTTCTTTCCTTCTTGATTTTACTTATTTGAGATAGAGTGAGCGAGAGAGAGAGAGAGAGAGCATGAGCAGGGGGAGGGGCAGAGAGAGGGAGAAGCAGACCCCCGTGGAGCAGGGAGCCTGATGCGGGACTCGATCCCAAGACCCTGGGATCATGACCTGAGCTGAAGGCAGACGCTTAACTGACTGAGCCACCCTTGCGCCCCTCAGATGCTTTTTGTACACGTATTGAGATGATCATGTGTCCTTTATCTTTTATTCTGTTAATATGGTGTCTCACATGGAATGATTTTCACATGGTAAACCAAACTTGCATCCCAGGGATCAACCCCATTTGATCTTGGTGTATACTATTATTGATGAGTTGTTGAATTCAGTTTGCTAGTATTTATTTATTTTTTTTAATTTTTTTTTTAAGATTTTATTTATTTGTGAGAGAGAGAATGAGAGACAGAGAACATGAGAGGGAGGAGGGTAGGAGGGAGAAGCAGACTCCCTGCTGAGCAGGGAGCCTGATGTGGGACTCGATCCCGGGACTCTAGGATCATGACCTGAGCCGAAGGCAGTCGCTTAACCAACTGAGCCACCCAGGCGCCCCAGTTTGCTAGTATTTTATTAAGGATTTTTGCATCTATGTTCATCAGAGATATTGGTCTGTAGGTCTCTTGTGGTGTCTTTCCCCTGACTTTGGTATCCATGTGATGCTGGCCTCGTAGAATGAGTTTGGAAGAGTTCCCTCTTCTTCTATTTTTTTGGAAGAGTTTGAGAGGTTTTGGTATTAATTCTTTGATGTTTGGTAAAGTTCAGGCGTGAAGCCATCGGGGTCCTGGGCTTTTCTTTGGAGGTTTTAGATGACTAGTTCAATCGCCTTACTTGTTATTTATCTGTTAAGTCTATTTCTTGTTGATTCACTCTTGTTAGGTTCTATGTTTCTAGGAATTTATCAATTTCTGGGTTACCCAATTTGTGTGCATCTAATTGTTCATAATAGTCCATAATCCTTTTTATTTCTGAGGCATCTGGTGTGATGTCTTCTCTTTCATTTCTGATTTTATATATTTGAGTTTTCTCTCTCTTTTTTCTCAGTCTAGCTAAGGGTTTGTTGATTTCACTTTTTCAAAAAACCAACTCTTAATTTTATCGATTTTTTTTTCTATTCTCTGATTTATTTCTGCTCTGATCTTTATTATTTTCCTTCCTCTGCTAACTGTGGGGTTAGTGTGATGTTCTTCTTTTTTGGTTCCTTGAGGTGTAAAGTTAGGTTGGTTTGTGGTGGTGGTTGTTGTTGTTTTGAGATATTTCTTTTTAATGTAGGCATTTATTGCTATAAACTTCCCTCTTAGTACTGCTTTGGTGCATCTCATAAGTTTGTCCTCGTTTTTGTTTGTCTCAAGATAACTTTTAAGTCTCCTTTTGATGTCTTCTTTGACCTAGTGGTTGTTCAAGAGTCTGCAAGCTTACATTGCAGATGGTTATTGGTCTTAAATATAAAAGTAAATTATGTTTTCTGCCCCTAGTGAGAGAGCTGTCAGAATATAGCCTTGATGCAAAGAGGTGCATAAGCCACAGGTGAGCTTCTGGAGACAGTTTAAAGTCTGACCAAAAGCATATGGAGCCTTCATTTTCCTGCATCCACACCAACACTGTATATTACCAGTCTTTACATTTTTTTTTGCCAGTTGGGAGAAAACGATAGTTTATTGTTGTTTTGTTTTAATGTCCCTAATTATTGGTGAGGCTATGCATCTTTTCATGTATATAGCCATTTCTTCTTTGTGTTTCCTGCTCATATTCAGTGCACATTAAGAAATTGAGGGGTTTTTTTGTATTTTTGTTGATTTATAGGATATAACTGATATGTAAGAGATATCGATTATGTCAATATATGTCAATATATAGGATATATTGATTCTGGATAGTAATCCTACATTTTTGATGCTCTTCTCTACCAATCCTTTTTTTTTTTTTTTAAGATTTATTTACTTATTTGAGAGCGAGCGAGCGAGAGAACAAGTGAGCAGGGGGGCAGAGGGAAAGAGATACTTTAGCAGACTCCTCACTGAGCTCAGAGCCCGATGTAGGGCTCGATCCCATGACCTGAGATCATGACTTGAGCTGAAACCAAGAGTCAGACACTCAACCGACCTCACCCCCCCAGGGGCTCCACCAATCCTAGTATTTTTGAGTCAGTTGGACGAGCATTTGATGCAAGAAGAGATAGGAAGGCAATAAAGGGCTAGATGGTCAACAGCTAGTAACCCAAGTTGACTTACAAATCACTAGAATGAGTTTTATCTTCTTAAAAGCAGAGATGGCACCAAGATGAAGAGGGGAGGCAACTCTGTGCCCCCATCACAGGAGACACAGCAGACCCGCAGTCCCCAAGAACATTTTGAGCTCTTAGGCTCAGTGCAGACCCTTTTATTAATAAGCCTAAGTCTACCCCTTTGTGAGTGCCTTCTTTGACATTGCACAGACTCTTCCCAAACTCCTCTCAAACCTGACCTGCCTCCTTTGCACGTGGTTTATGGTATCAGTGACACCGTGTTCTGTCCCGTGACAGAACCTGTCCGGAGTGGTACCTGCCCGTTCCATTTGCTTGAATAATTGGGTTCTCGGTGCAGCCACTCTGGTGGTTACGGAAACCTCAACCTACTGCAGCCTCCTCCTCCTCTTTCTTCCCCCTCATCATAGCTGTTTCTCCCAGTCTGTCCTCTGAATTCATTGACTTTGGTCATTCAATGTCTACTGACTACACACAATATACTTCCCTCCTCCCATACCATAGCTTTCTCTTAGGGCCAATACTGCCCAATACATATATGCAAATATTTTCTCCAAGCTTATTGTTTGTCTTTTAATTTGCTGATTTCTTTTATCATAGAAATTTAAAATATTTATCCAAATATGTTGATC